CACTCAAAGGATAAAATTTTTAAAACCACCAGTGAGGAAGGACCCAAAATTGGATTAGTTGTTATGGTCTTAGCAGTAAAACCACTGGGTATAGCATTTAACCAATGGTTGAGAAGAACCAAACTAAATACACCAAATATTTCTTCTTTTGATTATTGTAATGATATTAATTCAATGAATGATTTAAATATCATCCAAGGCCACGGACTCAGTGAAAATGATAAAAACATACACGTAGTTTGTTTAATTAAATTATATTTAACTTTTCTAGCATAAAATTCTGTTTTTTATTTGGATGACGACGAAATAGCCGAGTGTTTGGAGGCTATAAGGAAGAAGGGAATTAAACAGTCTAAAGGTACTCACAAGAATGCGTCTGAACTGGTAAGAGCATGTGTATTGATATTTCCTACAAGGGTAAAGTCATATCCAGGGTAGGTTATTCTGAGCTTTCATCTATCTCATGGAACCACGACTACTCCTTCGCTACCTAATTTGTGTTCTTTTGAAGCCGCTCCTCTAAACGGTGTAGTTAAGCAAAATATACTTACTTTACTTACATTAGTCATTTCGATTTAAATTACACGACCTAACATGATTTTGTAGCGATCTTTCTTCTTGCCCTATAACATAACTTTTACTGTCGGCTGGTGAGTGGATAAACCTCTTAGCGGACATATTTTAGACTTGAGAAATCTAGTAATTTGTGCAATATTAGTAGCTGCAAAGCCATTCAAACTAAACGCTTAGACCACGCATGGTCCCTTGATTCTCTCCGTACGACAGCAATAGCATATTGTGTATGAGTGCTGTATTATTTTTCGCCTTCATAAGCCCTCCACGCGGTACAAGAGTATGTGGGGTCTAGTGAATTCTGTCAACGAAACCTCGCCTGCAAAATGAGTTATGATATTTACCTTAGTTAATTTAACTATAATGCACTATGTTCTCTAATCTATCAAAAAGAAGAGGCACAAGTCCTGAAAGCATGCTGTAAAAGAACTCCATAGAGGTAATGCATAAAATTTATTGACAATAACATAAAACATACAAGAATTACGAAAATACTTGTAGTAAAAGTAGCATACTTAAATTACAAATCGATGGGAAGTTAGGAAGTTTCCTTGACTTTGGCCTTTAAAATTATCTTGCAAATCTCCTTGTGTCCCTGACTCCTAGCAAGCGACAAAGTCGTCTTTCTGTCCACTTTCCTTCGCACTTTAGGATTAGCCCCTGCAAATTTTCGTGCGTATTTTATAACCGAAAACGACAAATGACGACAGCAATGCCTATTTTGGTATAATCTGTTAGGTCAATTAATTTTGGCACGACTCGATTTGATGCTTTACATTTGTAAGCAGTATTTAGAAAAATCTCTGGTACTGAACTATTCATGTAAATGAAAGCACACATCACACCTCGTACCAGCGACTAACAAAGCAGTAACCATTTCTCTTTTACCAGTCTTTGCAGCTTCCATGAGTGGCGTGTAATCTTGTCCATCTAATTGCTCAATATTTGCTCCATGGGCTATAAGAAGGTCCAAAATACTGACCTTGTTGGAGTCGATAGATAAAAAAATGACTGGTGAGTTTGTGTCGTCGGAATGATTAGCATTTGTACCATGGTTGAGTAGGATTTGAACCAACTCTACTCG